GTTTAGGGTTTAAGGGTTTAGGTTACAAGGGCTTAGCGGGGTTCGGTTTAGGGTTCAAAGGTTTCAAGGTTTGCGATTTTGCCACTTGCAAGGTACACGTCTCGATTTGTCAGGTTTGCGATTTAGGGTTTAAGGTTTAAGGTTTACGGTCTAGGGTAAGAACTTGGGGCTACCGGGTTACAAAGCTACTTTCTTTTCTATCTCTGTATGAATATAGAAGCATAAACAGAAAGAGAGAGAGATGGTGGGATTATACAGGGGAATGGAAAAGAATATGGACGTGACAAGACCATACTATGATAGAGCATATATTGGGATGATATAAGGCCCATACACGGAAATCACCCCAATACTGGAGAATCAAACTGAAGATTGGAAAATGACATGGAAAGTAGGATAAGGGGCTTCGGGATCATCTGGCGGCCCATTAGATTTTAGCTGGGTCTCCACAACATTGGAATATGGTGTAGGGTTATGAGCTCAGGGAACTGGACTTGTTTTGTGCCTGTGTGATTGAGATGTTCTTTCTCAAGCAACCGTATGTGAAACCCGTAGTCCAGAACAGACATGCCTCACACCTAAGCAGCAAAACTGTGGTAGTTTCTCAACAAACCGTCTGGAATTCCTTTGTAGGGAATCCCTTATCCCCACATACCCCTGCAGCCTGAGAGATGCCTCACGTGGAGGTTTTCGTATTAAAAAGCGGTACACAAAACAAACCCCAACAGTGTCTATTCCTTATGAGAGGCCTGATCTTATGAAACCCCCATGTAGAGAAATCTTGCATGCGAGGGATGTAGCAGACTACATATCGTGGGCTTCCCGGCGTTGGGATCCTATCTGCTGAAACATAGTATTGCATAGGCCTGCAGACGCAGGATAAGGTTTGGGGCACGCTGTGATGTTATCTTGCGATGGTTATGATATGGGAAAAGCTTCATTTCCCTCTGCTGCATTACATGCTTAGTTGACAGACTTGAGACCTAAATTGCAGATAAAGGACCAAGTCCAAAGGACTGGATTACAAGTGTGGATGGCTGGGGTTATTTAATAGTGTACAGTGCTTATACATCTATTCACGAAGCCCCCCAGACGCCGCAAGTAGGGGTCACTATTCTTAGTCCCCCTGAAGTAAATAGAAGTTATAATAACATCACCTTATAACCCATATTCTATCTACTTAAAAGGGGACTATAAGCGCAGCATGCGCTCCCATGATCTGCGCAGGCCTCCAGAGGCACTCGCGGCTTCAACTGCAAGTTTTCCTGTGCACAACTGGGAGAAGGGGTGGTTCCACAAACAGGGGACATATGTATACATATATATACATATACACACACCGCACTATGTATATATATATATACACACCGCAATATAGCGGAAGCCTTCTGATAAGGAGTCTCACCTCAGTTTTGCAAACCCCTACGGAGGGAAGATCCTACAGTAGGGGCCCAAAGGATTAGGATCATATGGGATCTCGGGATCCCTATCTAGGATTGTAGATACTTGGTTCTGAGAAGCTTCAATTTCCCAACATGCTCGCCTGGCAAACCTACAGTTGATGTAGGGAACCCTGTCCAACCTGGCATCCTATGTCCTATGCATATCCATCCGGGGAAATACTGCAACCTACTCTTCTTACGGTCCTCCTAGGCAATTATGAGCTCTAATAGCCAATCGTGGCATGCATGCATGCCCCCAAATCATCAAAGGCTTGCCTGCTCAACTACTAGTACAGCTCTGAAAGTCACATGGATCTCCTGTTCTGGCAAACTTGGTCCTCTCTCTTTCACCGTAGGGGACCGTATTTGCACTCTTACTACGCCTTACTATGAGGGACCCTGCGTGTTAATTGGGGAGGACAAGAGGAGCCGAGAGTAAAGCATTCAACAGCTCTATCTCCAATGGCTCCATTGGTGGGCTGGAGTTTGGGCAATTGGGAACATCCCTGTGTCCTCATTCAACTCTGCTGCGCATACGGATGGCTGCATATCCTCCGCAAGGGGACACTCGTCTGCACGGCCTGTGTTGTGAAGGTTCGGCTTGAAGCTCAAACACGAAATGTCAGTGCTAAATGTCAGGGAACGAAAGGTGATCATGGCAAGGGAAGACGGATTCCAAAGCAAAAGTAAACTACCTCGCTCAAACGCTAAATTGGGAGTTTGCATGAATAGGAGGCACCAACGCACAACGCTACATAAGCAGATGCTTTCTGAAAACCCACAAGCTGAAAAATGAACTTCAAGCTAGAAAACAGACTGGAAGCTGACCCGGTGACCCGGGAGCATATCATTTGAAAATCATGTGATCCCCATTATCGGGACTGGCGCCCTACACCCTGAGAAGGCCCCGCACTCTACAGAACCAACAGGGTCACCCTAAACCCTAGACCCCAGTCCCTAAAGCCCTCTAATCCCTCGACCCTCAACCCCAGGTCTTCAGAAGCAAAAGGACCGGCATAGCCCTGAAGGGTGAGCTCCGTAGGAGCCAGGCTTATCCTCCCGTCCTCTAGCATTAAGCATTCCTTACCTTACTGGTTCTTATTGGGATATTTGGAATCGGGATTCTATAGGGAATATATTCCCTTATTCCCTACTGAGAACTAGTAAGTGACGATAGTAACAATATCCATTGGGGGGGCACATGGAATATCATGATTAGGGCGGGTGTTGAGTGTTGAATCTTAGGCGGAAGCGGGTACCACGAATATTGGTTGAAACAAAAGCTTCCAACCGTAAGCGCTAAACCCTGAACCCCTGAATCCTGAACCCTGCACCCCAAACCTTTTCTCTCTGTACCCTGCTAACGGTTGAACCACTTAATAAGCAGGGGATTTTGGTTAGCCCAACCTAAAAAATCGGCCCTTCTGTAGACCTTTGAGTGTCGCGGGGTCGAGACGTAATGTCTAGAAAAAAAGTATCAGATAGGTGAAGTTAATTGCCCTGTTTCTTTTTGATTCTCCATCACTGGAGTAACATCCCTAAACCCTACATTACGCGTAATCCCTAGGCAACCCTAACCCTACCGAAACCCTAAGTCCTGAATCTTACATTAACCTAGCCCCCACCAAAACCCTGAACCCTATACAGCCCTTACTACCCATCAAAACCCGAAACTCCCTAAACCTGCATAGCCCATACACCCTTCAAAAGTAGACCCATACCCTATAGTCCACCTTAAGTAGATAGAACATGGCTTTGCGTACATTTTAGTAAGATCCTCATATACCCCATATTTTCTCTACGTAAGGGAGACTATATACCCTAAACCCTACATGGTAGTTTCCATTTTCTTTTCCATTATCCCTATATAACCCAAATATAACCCTAATATAACCCTACTATAACCCTAATCTAACCCTAACATAACCCTAATATAACCCTAATATATGGTAATCTCCCTAAATAGGGGAACCCAATATAGACCCCAAAATACTGTAGTCCTTATTACAGGGACCCCCAAAATGGTACCCCTAATTTTGGGAAACCCCCATATCTACTTAAGGGGGACTGTAAACACCGAACCTTTGAGCAACCCTGGGCCTGTGTCAAGGAGGGGGGTGGGCGAGGGCTCAGCCGCCGGAGGGGACTCTGGCTGCTCTTCCACCTCCGGTTTAGGGTTTAAGGGTTTAGGGTTTAGGGTTTAGGGTTTCGGATTTAAGGGTCTAAGGGTTGAAGGGTTTAGGGTTCAGGATTTAAGGCTTCGGGTTTAAGATTTAGGGTTTAGGGATTTGGGGCCTCACTGCTTCAAATCCTGCATGACCCTAAGTACCCTTTTCCTTGGTAATCATGGTGCTTAAGTATACCAAGTTCATGCAGGATTTCAATATCAACAGTATGATACTTATAGGGTCCTTATTACAAGGGTTGGTGTAGCAAAAATCTCAGGTCAGGGTTTGAGGATCAAACCTCGCCTGGTATGACGCACTCAGCCTTCGGCTTAGGGAGCCCTAGTGTAAGCCGGTGGGTTTATAGTGCCCCTTAAGTGTATAGAATATGGCTTTGGTTACATTAGAATAAGATCCCCATATACCCCATATTCTATTTACTTCAATGGGACTATAGGGTTTGGGGTTTAAGCTTTAGGTGGTGTAGGGTTTGGGGAGCTCCTCCCAGGCATGCTAGGACCTGAAATTAGGACTATGGCCTTTCAGCACCTGAAGCTCTAACTCCTAAGACCTACACACCCTGGGGCTTAGGGTTTAGGGTTTAAGGTTTAGGGTTTAGGGTTTAGGGTTTAAGGTTTAGGGTTTAGCCTCAACCCTGAATTTATACACCCTGAACCTCATCGCTGCCTGATTTGGGTGGACTCCCCCCCCCACCCAGTAGTAGCGAACATAAGGGATAAGGTGATTATATTAGGGTCCTCTCATATTCCTGTTATATCACTATTACAGAATGGGGGTCTGAACCCTGAACCCTATAACCTGAAACCTAAACCCTGAACCCTAAACCCTGAACCCTGAATCCAGAACCCTGAATCCTGAACCCTGGAACCTAAACCCTGAACCCGAAACC